CTAACTACTACTAACTGCTACTAACTACTACTAACTACTACTAACTACTACTAACTACTACTAACTACTACTAACTGCAACTAACTGCAACTAACTGCAACTAACTGCAACTAACTACTACTAACTACTACTAACTACTACTAACTACTACTAACTACTACTAACTACTACTAACTACTACTAACTACTACTAACTACTACTAACTACTACTAACTACTACTAACTACTACTAACTACTACTAACTACTACTAACTACTACTAACTGCTACTAACTGCTACTAACTGCTACTAACTGCTACTAACTGCTACTAACTACTACTAACTACTACTAACTACTACTAACTACTACTAACTACTACTAACTACTACTAACTACTACTAACTACTACTAACTACTACTAACTACTACTAACTACTACTAACGACTACTAACTACTACTAACTACTACTAACTACTACTAACTACTACTAACTACTACTAACTACTACTAACTACTACTAACTACTACTAACTACTACTAACTACTACTAACTACTACTAACTACTACTAACTACTACTAACTACTACTAACTACTACGAACTACTACTAACTACTACTAACTACTACTAACTACTACTAACTACTACTAACTACTACTAACTACTACTAACTACTACTAACTACCACTAACTACCACTAACTACCACTAACTACCACTAACTACTACTAACTACTACTAACTACTACTAACTACTACTAACTACTACTAACTACTACTAACTACTACTAACTACTACTAACTACTACTAACTACTACTAACTACTACTAACTACTACTAACTACTACTTACTACTACTAACTACTACTAACTACTACTAACTACTACTAACTACTACTAACTACTACTAACTACTACTTACTACTACTACTTACTACTACTTACTACTACTTACTACTACTTACTACTACTTACTACTACTTATTGGTTTTAGTTTCCCAGAAATGTCCAACAGCACCCACATCACTCTCACATTTCGTGAAGGCGGCAGCAGCAGGTTGAGGCGAAAATCGATAGATAGGTACACATTCATATATATTGGGTATAAAAATGGATCAATGAACAAAAGGTGGATCTATGGAAAGATAAACCAACAGATAGATGGATGAACATGGGCAAAGGCTCCTTTTTGCATGTTTCTGACCTGTTTCTGACCATTCCGGGATGCCTATTCAATTTCAAAAAGAGGCACAAAGGAAAGCACACAGACTATATACAGCTTCGATCCCAGGTATCTCTGCTGGACACTAAACAATCAACAACATAAGTTTGTTGAGAAGCAGTCGTGGTAGTCAAAGGTAGCCAGCTTGCAAGCAAGATCGGTCGAGGTATGCAGATACAGAGCAGTAGTACATGGTGGCAACTAAAGCTATGTTGGTTTAATAGAGAGTAATTTCATGTAATTGCTGGATCCTCACTGGTTTAATATTTAAAGCGCGCGGATTCCGCGCGCGCGGGTTCCGCGCGGCTATTCTTACAAACAGAAGCCTTCGTGGTCATGCCCTATAAACCCTTCCCTCAAGCTTGATGGCTCACAGTCGGTGCCTTTAGTACAGAGTCAGACAGCTTTAGTACAGAGTTAGACAGCTCCAGTTTGTCAGATTCGTCGCACGCTTGAAACACCATTGCGTTCGGGCTTTGTTGGTGACCCTAGAATTTAACCGCGCTAGTGGTTTTTTCACACGTTTTGCAGCTTAACTATGTTTCCAGGTACATGAGGGGAGGTCATGCCACATGTGAAAAGTTTAGTACGGGCCCCATAGTAAACGACCACTTTCCGGATAATCTGGGAAACAGCATTTTGACCAACACCCATATACCTGCAGCACTCTGGCATGAAATGAGGAACATGTCCGGGTTCAACAATTCAACTGTCGAAAACATATATAATTTATGTTTGTAACTGCCACCTCAGCCCTTGACACAGGCCTGCAGCGAACCCAGTTCCACGACGAGGAATGCAATTTGGAGCACCTTGAGCAAGACGAGCGCAGAGAGGATACATTGTCCGTCCTGTGCCTTGATCTCCCTTCCTTTCAAGGTCGTGATCAGTCAGGACACGTGCGGCTGCAGATACACGGAGTTTCTTCGTGGCAGCCTTTTACAGTTGCCCAACGTAAAGATGGAAAAGGCGAGCTTCACATTAAGTTGGAGCCTAAAGTGCAGGAAGGCAAGATGGCCCCACAGTATGCAAATTGGTCTTTTCAGACCAAGAACAGAGTGGTGAATGCTTTGCATTACAGCAACCGCCTCAAGATTCGCTGGACTGGGCCGTTTGGCGGAGTGCTATCCAACAGCAGCCTCTATGAAGGAATGCCAGTGAAACCAGCAGTGATTTTCGTGTGTTGGGGAACAGGCTTCACTGCCATCACTCAGGGCATGCACTCACTCGGCCACTCACAAGCCCAGGTATTTTGGAGAGGTGCCCACGACTACAAAAAATACAAAAAGTATTGGGAGAAGAAGGTCCAACCCATATGCCAAGAGTATGGTGTCCGCAATATGCTCCAAGAATGGAAGAATGAGACAGGAGACTTCGATCTCTTTTGGAATCGTGGCCAGTTTGAAACGGCGATTTTGACGGTGATAGGCAATCATACAAGAAATGGCCAGAAGGTGCTGGTGGGGATGTGTGGGTCTTCCGCAGCCTGCAATTCCGTGACAAGGGCTATCGAAAACCTGGGCAACCACAACCTTATCGAGATTCAGACTGAAGCGTTTGGTTGAATAGCTTCAGCACAGTTTCCAGACCACCGTACAAAACATTTTTGGTCTTTTTGAAAGGACACAGGATACTTGCCTGAGAGGCAGAAAAAGTGCCTGTCCCATGCTAGAATGCAAGACGATGTATACAAATCAAATCAGTGCCTTGGCAGTGTATGGCACAGCTGCCTTTCTTGTCAACAAAGGGTTTCCACAGCATTTTACAAATCTGACCGCCAGGAGACCAGCATGGGACAACTAGCCCGGCCATGGACAGTGGCCCAGCTGCATATAGACAGGACGGATCTGGATTGTTTCGAGGTTGCCCGGACTTTTTGACAGACTTGCTTGTCAACTAATTTGGTGAATTCCAAACAGCCTTCATACCTGGCCATTAAACTCATTAAACACCATAAGCATTTCTCGAACCACATTTAGGAACCCACATCATCCTGAATCAATAGCGTTATGAAATGTTATGAAGATTTATGAAGTAATTATGGACCGGATACATGGTATGGATGTTGAACTGGCCTGTCCGGTCACATTTTATACACCATGGCCAATCTTCGATACCCCACAAAAATGTTTTGAACAAAACATATATTTTCCAAAAAAAACCAAAGCGCAGCCCGAAGTTGCTTGTTTCAATTGAATTAGGCCGATATCAGAGTGAAAATAGAACCGCAATCCCTGAGCGAAAAACACCAATAAAACCACCCGACCACCGATTAAAATGATAGCAGGCAAAGCGTCTAATTGCCTAATTGCTCAATGTTCGTGTTGGTTTTTTGTGTTTTTGCTGCCTGTTCCAGCTCTTTGGGGAGCTGGAGTCTTTCTCGTCGACTGCAGTTGTTATTCAAAAATATCCGTTGCCTAGGTCCACATGGTACACCACAAGAGGCTCCGGAGGCGGTGCAAGATTTGAGTTGAAGGATTCCCCTCCTTTCTCATATGGATCCACATTGAACGATCCTTGCAATTGCTATTCAGAGCAGATATCTCATGTTTTCATTTATTGAGAGGCTCATCCGGGTGCGATCTCTGCTGAAAGAGAAAGGCCAGAACTAGATCTGAACGGGGTCGTTCAGACAGCATGTGCAGAATTTTACGCAAAAATACCTAGTATAGACATGAATCATATGTATATATCGAATCGTAGTCACTGGTAGTCGTACTTTAAGTCCAACATAATTTCAGGAAGCAACCCGGATTTGGCAAATGGTTCGCACAACACATATATGGACATCAGGCTGGAAGTCACAGATGACAGAATGGCAGTTGATCCTCAGGAAACTTCCGGCAACATTTTGCCCATCTTTTGCTCTTTACTGTTTGCAGCCTGAGGTTGATCCAGCCCGGAGCTTTCCAGGCGATAGAGGTGGGGGGACAGACAAGTTTGATTTGTGACATGATGTATGTCACTTGAGGGTGGTCGAATCAAATGTGGTGCTCCCGCTGTAGGCAGCGGTTCACCGGAGTACTTCTCTCCACAGGCGAGAGCCTATGGTTTGCCCAGGAATCTTATAGGGGATATTTGAGCGCTCATTTGGGTGCTCAAATTTTCAGACCCTGTGAAAACAGTGGTCATTTTTTGTAGTGTGGTTTTGTCATGTTTTATCGAGTTTGGGGCATCGACATAGTCGATCGACGTGGTTAGTTTAGTTGCTCAAAGCAGATAGGATGTTTGGGATAGGAGGAGATCACCAAGCTAAGCATGCGGTCATGCCATCCATGTTGCAATGAACAGACCATCGGTTGCTGCACCGCTCCTGTTGAAATTCTGTTGACCTCGTGGAGGCAATGGCACTTCTAGAAAGCAGGCGCAAGGAGCAGCGGTCCCAGTCTGCCCAGTACGTAGATGTCCTCTGGAGCTTCAGAGCTCAGAGAATTGTGTCACTAGTAGCGGAGTGAATAGCAAGTGAAGCAGTATGAAGCAGTGATTGTTGGAGAATGCGTTATCTTGGGCACAAAAAGGTTGGATCACGAGCGGCTGACTGTCGAAGAGCTTGTTCCTTAGCCTTTTCCCATGTTTCCTTGATGCAGAGCACACGGTTCCCCCACTAGCAAGAAAGTCTTTCCTGCATATTTCACAAATGTTCACAGGTTGAGACGTCAATTGAAGCAAGACGCGCATGCCCGGCCAGTCTTCTGATACTTTTGCAGACTGAAACAAGCTGAGAGAATCATTGGTTTGGTCTTCTTTTGATTTATTTTATTTGTCTTTATTAACTTTCTCTTATGTTTCTACATTTATTTCCTCTTATTTATGGTTATTTTGTTGATGTTGGAGGTGAGATAAAGATAAGACCACCAAAATAACATAAAATAACCATAAATTTGCAATTGTAATGTTATAGTTATTTCTAATTTATTTTGTGTTTTCTTTATTAACTTTTCTTAAATTTATTTTCTGTTTGTAATGTGTAAACTTAATTATTCTTAGATACTTATTGTGGAAAGACGAGGAAAAGGAAAACCGAATTAATGAAAAGAAGAGTGACACAATAAATCTCTAATAATCAATAAGATTCATGTTAAATAAAAATAAGATCATGTGCACCTGGTGACAAGGCATCGCCTTCGTTCCTTCACTGGAATGAGCAAGGAACAGGTGGGGTCACTGTCCCATTTTTCCAACTTTCCGATTCCAATCCACCGTCCAAAAATAATAAAAATAACCCCAAAATCCAATGGTGTATCAGTTGATCATAATGTTTTCCCCATGAGAATCGCTATCCGGTTCCATTTCCCCCATATTGTTTCATATTTTTCCCAATAAACTGCTACAGGTATTTTGGGTATTGTCTAAGTATATTATGACTGTATAACCCCGACCCATAGACGCCATAAATCACCGATGGCCCGAGACTTTTCGACAGGCGCTGTTGCAAGAAGCTGGCATAGCCTTGGATAGTCGAGTATCAGCCCTGAACAGGCGACATGTTGGATTTTGCACGGCTGACAAGTGACCAATATTGACCAATTGTTACAGTATCTAATCTATATCTTGATAAGGATGAAAACATATGAAAACTATAAGGGCTTTTTGGACTAGGGTCTGTCTATCATCTGAGAGTGTGTAAACCCGCAAGTCCCTTTCATGTTGATTTGGGATCCTGGAACGTTCCCAAGTTTCGAACAGTTTGCCACGCAATTCCTGCACGGCCCAATGGTTCCCGCAGGGCACTGAAAGAACACCGGGTCATCCAGCAGACTCTGCAAGGAAGCTTGGAGAAAATCCGCACCAAGGACCTGTGACAGATTTCAATCAATTTGGATGTCATGCTATTGGAGCAAGTTGATCTTTGTGCTACCTGCGTTCACTGCGATTTGTACTGCCTGCAACTCGCGAGGGCGTCCCTGGTGGGTACCCTACTGCTTTTAAGGCAGGAGTTGAGACTGAGAAAACTTCCACCGAAGCTGCTTTTGCTGCATGCGATTCATGAGTGGGGATGGGTCAAAACCCTATCCCCCTGGTGAACATCAAAATAGCTGGTAAATGGATGTTCATCCCCCTAAAAATGGTATGTATAGGTATTGATCCATAGACGAGTCATTTTGTGTTGGTGTCAAATCTTGTAGGCCCATGGAGACACTGGCGGAGATGCCACACCAAGGCAAGTTGCTGTTTCATGGTTGTCATGCCAGCCTTTGACACACGGCACTAGTGGTCGGCCCTGGCAAACAGTGGCACAACAATTCTGGTCTGGTCTCTGCAGGTCTACTCGTGGAGGCAGACACCCAGAGCGGTATGATGGGTATCCTCGAAGAAGTGAGGCACGCAATCTTGATACATCTTTGATAGATTTGCTATCGCTGGCATTTGGATGGTATTAACATGTATTAACATGTCAATGTATTAACTATGTTAGCGCTTTTGCAAGCAATTTGGGGAACATATTTTGTAGACTTCGTACTACTGGAGCGGGGATTAGTATCAGATTCGAAACCCCATTGCTGGCTGTGAGGATCTCGGAGTTATCCAGCTGTGGCCTTCGACTCAGATCTGACAGGAGGTTTCATGGTCCGGCAGAGGTTGATGAGGCTGAATTGGCTGAACCACTGAACACTCTTTCTGCTGCTACCTCCTAAGAACGATGTGTCAATGACCACTTCACAAGGCAAAGAATTCTGGGACATGAATTGAACGCTCATTCCTCCGGTCATAGGACAAGGCGAGATGGTGGCTATGTCTATCTATGTCACTGCGAAACACATATTCCTGTCTTGTTCCCCGTGCATGCTTCTGCGACTCAATTGAATGCAGGAGACAGAGCGATTCGCCACTTCCGACAAGCAGAGGACAGTTTGCATGAAATGAACGTGTGATATTGTGATGTGACATGATGTGACATCTCTTGAATTCTCTTGAGATATTTTTTGTTATAAGTTACATATGGCCACATCCTGATATTATTGGTACCTTGTCTTGAGATCCACTCAACAGTTACCTGGTGGCCCGTGCATCAGTGTAGTTTCCCCACAAGGAGCTACCCGTTCAACTTCGCCTTTGAGCAGTCTCTATCTGAGAGTTGTTTCAGTGGCTGATGTGGGATTTTTTAATGTTTTTTTCCAGAAGGATTAATAGACTGATTTAACTAACAACAGATCTCGAAAATCAATTCAAAGGCCGACGTAGCCGGAGCTACAGGGAGGCAGGGCCACTTTTTATACCAGCAATATCAATCAACAATATCAACATATATCAACATCAGCAATATGCTATATTTCACCACCCTGAAATTCGCTGTGCCGAAGGTGTTTGAGGTGAACATGGTGTGACAGTCCCAGATCCTAGGGAATGTAGAACATTGTAGAACATTGAAAGGGTAGAGTGCATGAGTTGTCTAGGACTGACACAACGTCCATCGTGCACATGGTGACTCATCATCATTATGATTAATTGTTATTTCCGAGAATGTTCTTCGATATATTCATCTTCATGCGGATAACGTGTACGTGCTGATGGCAGTGCACACATTTCCATGCAACACAGGTTATCACGGGTTATTTGTACGCTCTAGCCATCCTTCTCTTGATCTGTTGCTAGCTACGTTGTGATTTCCACAGGCCGTCGACCAGCACTTGGCTTGGCTGCAGAACTTCTCTCGTCAGGCTCGGAAGAAAGATGAAGAAAGTGAAAGGGTTCTCCCCACCTGCACCGATTATTGTTTGGTTAGGCGGGTCCATTGACGGCTCGAAGTTATGGAGGTAACGTGCTAAGTTGTGCTGGCTTATCTTCGCTTGTGTCATGTGTTGGAAGTCCACAAAAGGCGCATGCTGAGACGCCTTGAGCATCGTTGAGCTGTGTGCTGTCGCTTGTTTGTCGATCTCATTTTTTTCAGCCTAAGTTTGCCATGCCAGGTTGGTAACATTGGCTGATTGTAAATGTATCACAAGCAATCGCCATATTTTGCCGCGATTTGTTTTTTGTACATCACAAGCCGCAAGGCCCTGTAACTTGGCAGTTTTTGCCAGGTGGTTAATGCCTTTTTTCTGGACCAAAGGTGTCTCACAATTCAGTGGAATTGACCAAGCCTTCTTAGGAGGACGTGGCCTGCAGGAGAAAAAGGCTACCAGACTGATCTGCTCAGCGAAATGCATTGGACCTGCATTCCAACATTCCAAAATCGGTTGTGTGGGTGGCAATGTAACTTGTTTCTTTTCGGATGTCAACATTGTGTGGCTCAAGATCTTAGCTTGCCAGATTGATTGATTTGGCGGTTCCATGATAGTTTTCATGAGAAAAACTTCCCAGCTCAAACTCAAATTGCCAACTACCTAGACTACCTAAATTATCATCTAAATTCATGCCTTTCACAATGACCACGGACTCCTTAGCACCATGCCATACCATGCCCAAGCCAGGTACAGTATTGCAAACATTGCAAACAAGCAACTCGCGTGGGACTTGCCACATAGGTAGATTGGGCGCATGTCGTTTCAGCCATGCGGCACCGAGGAGGGTCCTGGAATCCCTCCAGGATTTGATAAAACCTGGCAAAGAGTTCATGTGCGGAATACGTTCATAGAGGTAGACGAGGAACCACATGCAGATCTGACATTCTCAGGCTTGGACTTGCATAACGCACCAGGGCGCACTTGGCGCCGTGGCCATTTGAGATGTGCATCAGAACCCATGTCGTTTTTCCTGAGTCAACCTCCCTGGGAACCTGTGAGTCTGAACGCTCCGCCTTTTTCAATGCCCAATGGAACACTTCAAGGTGATTCTCGTACAGCTGGAGCCGAAAGAGGCAGACCATGCCCACACAGGTCACTCAACCAAATGGCTCAAATGGCTCAAATGACCCGGATGACAAATTCAATGACAATTCAAGAGGAAGAGTACGATGAGAGGGAGAGCTTGAGACACTCCTTGCCTCAGTACATTGGAATGAAGTCAGCAGAGGTCCAGGGTCAAGGCGGTCAAGGGACAGCTACAGAAGGTGCTCATGGTGCAGTGGCACAAAGCACTTGGTGTGGAGAACCAATGCTGGTGGATTTGGTGGATGTGAGGAGAAGATCCAACTCACCTGGCTTTATGACAGAACAAGATGAAGCTCGTAGCTCCCCAGACTGGACTACACCCTCTGTGCCAACCTTGGCTTTGCCGGTTAGATATAGACATGCCAGGCAGCGGTCACGCACCATCCAGGAAGATTCTGAGTTGGCTCAGAATTTGGATGAACTTGATGCGCCTGACAAAGTTCATGCAGGTCAGCTCCCTTGGGATTCCTTTGGTGAGCGAGTTAATGGTGTCAATGTCCGTGTGCGCAACACTTTCATTGAAGTCGATGAGGGATCGGATGGTTGCACCGATCCCTCTCTTCTGAGTGCTAGGCCAGCATGGCGACCAGGGCATCTAAGATGTGCCTCAGAGCCCATTCCCTCTTACACAGAGTCGCGCATCAGCGGCTTCCATTCCAGAAGCAGTAGCTACCAAGATGATGCTGAGATGGCAGAGATTCTTCAGGCCCAACTGGCTCAAAGCCACGAATCAGACCATTTGGGTCAGCCGAATTCTGATGTTTTTCCTTTCGTGCATGTCCACGGCACCGTCAGCGACACACAGAATCCTGACACTGTCTCTCCAGATCCGGAGCAGCGGCTGCACACATTGTCTCAGCTTCGGTCAGTGTCTCCAACATCTCCAGACCGAAGCCAGTTGTCTACGGGCGACTACGATGGCTACAACCAACTCACAACTGCAACGGCACCCAAGATCTCCCAGTGCAAGTGGCACAGTCGTGGCACTTGCAAGTATGGCGATTCATGTCGCTTTTCCCATGCAAAAACTGTGAAGCCAAGTTCAAAGTCCAAGAACAATGCTGAGACACTGCGTCCTTCATCTACTGGGCCTCAAGGTCCCCTTCCTGCAGGTCAGACCTGTCAGCTGGACACGACGCAATTTTGAGCAATCGCTTGAATTCATTTGTTTTGTTAGGTTGATTTAAAATGATGTATATAGGTTGTTTTTGGATGTTTTGGGTACATTTGTTTGTTGAAATAGTTCATCCAGTGTCTTGATCTAATGTCTAACTATGATCATCCTGTTCAGTCGCATCCTCTCTTCCCTTGCGCGGAGATTTCAGCTTGACAGGTCTCGTACCTGGTGCGAGTGCTCCTTTTCCAGTGGGTGTGGTCAGCCCTGAGGCCGTACTTGGCAGATGTGTCAACATGCGAAGTATCAGGACCCCCCAAGGATTGTGAGTATGATTTTGGGATGTGAGACATGGTGAATATATAGATACAATGTCGATATCAAGATATCAATGCAATCGGTTTAGTTGAATAGTATTGAAATGTATAGAATGATATTTGATATTGAATGTATTGAATGCAGGTCTCTTTACTCTGAGGATTCGTTGCGATGCCAGGCTCCCAAGCCACAGCCAGCTGGACTGCTCCCAGGACCAGAGCAAGGGCCTAAGCTCGACCTAAGCTTGGCCAGCTCGGCCAGGTTGAATCGGTTTCAGGAAATCTCAGGACATGCCATGAGGATCCATGAGGATTATCAGGTGGTTATCAGGTGGTTTCAATATATTAAAATAACCATTGAATAATCATTAAAACCCATTAGATAACCATGAAATACAATATATTGTGACATTCTCTTTGAGTCTTTGAGTTGCTCAGGCCAGAATCTTCAGGACATCGCCAGTGCCGCAGCGTTTGAGCCTGAAGGGCACGCACAAAGCCTTAAAGCTGTCAAGTTTGCAGTTAGACACTGCCTGCGTGAAGCCAGCTTTCACGATTAATCCTTTGAAGGCAAAAATATAGCTAGTTGGACCACTGTAATCAGCGTATCCCAACAACGGAGCACAACAAGAGACATTGCAAGAGTCAAAAGATCTCAAAGTCTCAAATTTTGCAGGAACTCTGAAACCATTAAGAAGCTTTCCCATCATTGTCCTATTGGAAGTTTTCCCATAAAAATGGGGTAAAGTTGTCCCCTTGGTGAGCGACACGGTTTTCTCAGGTGAGCCCTGTAAGCACCACCGCCGGAAGTAGCGGTGATGCAGCGGACGCTGCCCACAAGCCAAGCTCCCAGAGGCCTTGATTGATTTGATTGCGATCATGACTGCGATGGGGAAAATGATACCAATTATCAATTGTATCCAATTGTGTTGTATTCAATTCAACTGTCATGTCACTAATATTTAACTGAGTATTTCTTAGTATGGATTCGTCACTCATGCATTGGTTGCTAGACGTTGTTAGTGTAGCTCTAAGTTCAAAAACAACTTCTGAGTACGGTCCTGCGCCAGGAACTCACAGGGCGACAAATCGCACCAGGCACCGGCTGAAGTGGGTGGAGCGATTTGGAGCATCAATGCTGTGAAAAAAACACTGGGTCATGAAATGTCATGAATAGGTTCTACGATGTTGTCTTGGATTGTCTTGGTGTTTTGAGGTTTTTGGGCACTGCAGTGTCCAATTTCGAAGGTCTTTTGGTGTGATGCAAGAGCATTCAAGCATGAGTTCCAAGGGCAGACTTCTCAGAGTGATGGCTAAACAGCAGATCGATTCAAATAGACGAGGGCGTTTCCACAAATTGAAGAAATCTCATCTTGCCCCTGGAGGAAACATTGGAACTATTTGGAACTTGTGCATTCTACAGCTCACATCAGCTCACGCTTTCGCCATGTTGCGCCATCTTGCGCCATCTTGCGCCAAGGTTCAGGGAAGAGCTGGAGAGTGCGATCGGTGTAGCCGCAAAGGCCCATGGTTTGCCCATGGTTTGCCCATGGTTTCATGCAGAAGACCTGTTAGCATGCAAGACATCATGGCAAAAGCAGAAGGTTGGGCAGTTGACTTTAAAGTGTTCATACGTGACATGTCATTTGTGCCAGTCACACAAAACAGCTGAGAAATGTATGCGATTGACGGGGCCTTAGCAGTGTTGGATCGCTGAATTCAGTGTCGAGCCCCTTCCTTTTCCTTGGCTCCACACAGCTCCAAGGCTGAAGAAGAAGCAACGGGTACAGGCTGAGCGTGGTAGAAGATTTCAGAAGGTGCAGCATGGTGCAGCAATGTGAAAAGTTGAGACGCTGTTGGGACACAAGTACTTGGACTATGTTGAGCTATACTGGTATCAGCTGGAGACACCTTGAGAATCCTTGAAATGCTTCTGTTGACATCCTCAGCCTGGGAAGGCCCGGCCTCTGATTTTTCTCGTTTCGTGGGCCAATGCTCAAGAGTTGGTCTAGCTCTTGGAGAATTGTCACGCCGCTGAAAATATTCCTTTGTTTTTTCTCCATCCTCAGTTGCAGCCCTCCTCCACCTACAGTACAAGCAAGGTCCAGCCAGTGTATCCATGTGTATCCCGACTCCCGACAGTCTGAAATTTGTGCACCAGTGGTCCAAAAAGAAACGCACACAATCTTACAGATCTGTTTGCCGAGGTGGAGTTTTTGCAGGAGGCACAACATATGCCACCTATGAAGGTGGGGCCTTGAAATGGTGAATGCGTCAGGTGATTTGTGCAGGGTCAGCTTCCTCTTAGCCCCAGGTGGTGGTGCTGTGCGACACGAATGGTCCGCGAACACGTGCAACAGCAGAGAGGTGGGGGTGAACAATCTGTTGCTTCCATTTGGTTGGGGGAAGGGCCTTAAATGGTTGTAGCGATTTCCATTTTTTGTTGATTGCTTGTAGGAACATGTAGGAACCAGATTTGGGTATTTCTAATATTTTCTAATTTCCGCTGTGTTCTTGGATGCTTCAACCATTCACTTCGGGCCCATTTCGTGTGATCGTCTTCCGTTTTCAACGCCCCACTTTGCTTTTTCCCACTGCCGATGCATCTTCCTTCCTGGGTCTGAAAACTGGTTGAGGGGTTCGGTGGGTGTTGGTTGTTGAGTTGATCGGCCGGTTCAACATCGATCCTTTCTCGCTCCTCACTTTTTCTTGCTCCTTCTGGGCTAACTCTCTCTCCATCTGTCTGCATCCCTGACTCCTTCTCACCCCTTTTGGTTCATTTCTGGTAACTCCTCCCTTCTCACTCCTTTGCTCTTTTTCACTCCTCCTTCCTTTTATCACTCTTTCTTTGTTTCACGTCAACACAGTTGAGGGTTCTGAGGCTTAGGAAAGCATCATTTTTTGCAGGTGTCGCATGGTTTCATCATGAATAATGAATAATGAATAATATATTTGAAGTACTTCATCTGGCACAAAGCTGTGAATTGCTATGATCCGGCGGTGAAGGGGCGGTAGCATAAGGCATCCAGTTTTCAGCACTAGAAACGAACCCATTTCAAAACATATATGATGTGCCTCAGCTCTCAACGGTTGCATCTCCCAAGGGTAACAGCAAATGCAAGGTGGGCACGAGAGATGCCAGTCGTTGAGACTGTGGCTGCAACATGGCCTGAGGTGCGATGATAAACCCTGGGTGTCCAATTTGGGGATGAAATGGGAAGAGAACATGAGTTGATTCGTATGAATGGGGATATGTTATGATATGTTATTATATTTTATATATCTTTTTCATACTGATATTATTATTGTATATTACTGCACAAGTATATTACATGATTTTTACTAGCACCAACGGCTCATACGATAATCATAAGACCAGCAAGATGTGAAATTTTGAGGATGGATTGCAGCTTGTTGAGCCAACGATGCCCCGCGCAAGGCCGTGAAATCAGTGCAGACCCTTTTGTCTAGCTCAAGCGCTCTGTCCCAAAGTCAGGGAAATGCTTGATGTTAGTGAGAAGAGAACGCCACTTGTTGGAACAACCAGTTTCTCGTTCTTGCGTTTGTATCTCAATGGAGGCAGTGCTTCATTCTTAGAAGAATGGAAATGAATGGTAACAACTGGAGACGACAGCTTTTGCCCTCGTTTAGCTGAGTGGTACATTCTTAGTTAAGCCATATTGGGCCTTTTGCCAACCCTCATCCAAATGGAGAGAGAAGCGCGTTGTTCTATCAATGATGGTTCCACCTGCCTTTTGCACAGCAGCGCACGAAGCTGTGAGTGTTGCTTCCGACGGCGTGTGCATAGAGAGCTGTTCAGTGCAAACAGTGCTGTAGACTTTTGCAAAAAAAAATGAAACACCGCTAATGAGAATGCTCCTGCCTCCTGCGACTTTTCTTCGAAATCATCCCCTCTTTGCAAAGAGATCTTGAAGATGTGTAAAAAAAACGCCTCAATGTGATACCTAAATCAATCTAAATCAAATTATGGATCTTATTGCACCGTTCCAATTGGCTTTGCAAAAGAAATCGATAGAATTCTTTGAACTATTCTATCTGCCAGACGATTCTCTCTGGCCTCTTTGTTTTTCTTAAGTGGCCGGAAAATTGCAAAAGAAGCTACTTAGGTGAGATTCACTATCAGGGAATGAGAGTATTTGGGAGGTCAGACAAGGGCTGCTCGCGAAAAAAAAAAATCAAGATGGATTCTTTATTCACTTAAGCCCCCATCATGTACTCTTGACCACCAGACAAATTGCATTAAAAGCTCACCAATCAGGTCACTGTAACAACCAATGATGAAGCCACCTAGACTAAATTTGAACATATTCGTTGGCCTGACTGACCTCATTATTTTGTTGTAAGTGCAACAACGAGGGCTTTGCAATATTGCACGAATCATCAGATAATTTCGTGAATTTTGATAATTTGGGGAATAATATATAATATGATAGAAAATAATTTGAAATTATAATATTATAGATTTAAAATATATATTATATATATTATTTATAATGTATATTTTAATATGGCACATATGTAAGATAAAATTTATATTGAAAAATTAATTATTAATTAATAAATATAAATTATTTATTGTTTTTATTGATTTATAGTTTTTAACAAAAATAATAATATAAAAAAATAAAAATAATATTATTATTAATATAAAATATTATAATAATTATAAATATAAAAGAAAAAAGAATATTATTAATATTATTAATATGTATTTTAATTTTTTATTTTATTTTTTTTTGATTATATGTATGTTTTTTTGTTTATTTTATTTTGATTTCGAATAATTTTGATTT